CAGTATGACCGACATGTAAATTAAAAATTTATTAGATTTGTGTAAAAATTGGAACATTATAGTTTTTGTGGTCGCTGATTACGAATCTAATATGAAAATTTCAAAATTCAAAATGGCGGATTCAATATGGCCGACATGTACATTAGAAATTTATCCAAATCAAATTTGTAATTACAAATTGAATCCGTCATGTTGAATTTCGAAATTATAATATCAGATTTATAATCAGCGACTACAAAAACGATGATATACCCAATGTTTACACAAATCTAATAAATTTCTAACGTACATGTCCGTATATTGAATTAATTTCCAATCAAATTTGTGACGACAATTGTAATCCGAATCAAATTTGTAATTACGATTACAATCATAATCGTAATCATAACTCGGAAACATTTGATTACAATCCTTATTGTAATTATGATTCCCAGCTGAATGTATTAAAATGTCCCAGGTGTAGTATTATTTCTTTACAATTATATAAAAGGACAAAATTTAAAAACTAATATTCTTCTCTATTCCACCGATTTCAGAACATCGGAATCGATTCTGCTGCAACTCGTATTTTTATTTCCGACACGATCAAGCAAGGAAGCGTATTTCAGTCACGCGCGGCACGTACGCCGACAGAACACCACACGTTCGTCGTCGTACGTTCCTCAAGTTCAAAAAAGTTCGCCAATCATCGGCGTCGTTCGACTCTCGAGCCGTGGGCGCGTATACAATTTCCTAGCGTCTTAAACGCTCGCGTTAACGCGATAGAGTTACACCACGAGTCCTCTTCTTTGGCCTATTTCGGACCAATTGTAAGAAATAAAGCGACAAAGCTAGCGAACGTGTTGTCTATCGCGTCGAAACAGTGGCATCGTGAGAAGCAATCGAGAATCACCACGGCACGTCGCCGACGGCATCTTAAAACCATTTCGTCAAACAATCTAAAACCGTGGTTTCTAACGAAGAATCTTTGCTTTCCTCGCGAGCAAAGCTTTTACGTTCTATACAGGGTGTTCCAAAAGTCGGGGAGGAGCCGGAAATGGGAGGTAGCTGAGACGATTCTGAACAACAATTTCCTTTGCAAAAATGTCGGATGAGGCTTCGTTAAGGAGATATTAAGAGAAAACGCTGACCAATCAGAGCGCGCGTAGACCGTTGGAACGGCCGCGGTAGCGAAGGCTACGCGCTAGGCGGCAGCGTCAATGTCCTTCGATGCACGTCGAGTCACTTGTTCGCGTACAAGCGCGGCCGCCAGCGCGTAGCCTTCGCTACCGCGGCCGCTCCAACGGTATCCGCGCGCTCTGATTGGTCGGGGTTTTCTCTTAATATCTCCTTAACGAAGCCCCATCCGACATTTTTGCAAAGGAAATTGTTGTTCAGAATCGTCTCAGCTACCCCCCATTTCCGACTCCTCCCCGACTTTTGGGACACCCTGTATAATTAATAATACGATACATATTTAAAAGAAAAAAAATAGAGATTTCGATAATTCTAATACGTGTACTACCGTATGAATATGGATCAACTTTCGAAGCATCGAGAAGAATAGAGACAACAATAGAAACCAGGTCACTCGTGTAGATATATGAATTAAAGAAACTCCCAGATTAAATCTACAGATTTAAAGTTGCAACGCGGTTAGAAAACAGAGCATACTAATCAGTGGTGCGAAAAAGACGAGAGCAACCTTCCGGTTGGTACACCGAAAGATACGACACGATAACCGTGACTCATTTATCGGATGGACGCATTACGTCCAGTAAAAATAAACTCCATTCGACACGTATTTCAATAACTATTGACGATACGAACAAATTGTTTACATGCAAATTGCAGGATACAGTGGGCTCTATATCGAAACGAAATTTCGGCGTAAACCAATTTTTGTTTATATTAGGGGAACCAGAAAATAATGTCGTTCCTTTCACATTAAATTCAAACAGATACACTTAGAACAAGTTTTTATTTTCAATCAATCACGTAATCGTCCTCGTTATCATTTTGCTATCTGGTGTGCAAATTTTCAATACCTGATCGATTAAAATCAATTGGTATACAACGAGAAGATAAATGATAAACAAGTATTGACATTCGCAAAAACGACATTATTTTCTGGTCTCCCTAATATTATTAATTTAAAAGATCCTATAGTGCTTTGCAAGACGAATTCATCGACCCTTAATGTATTTACCCGATTTTTTCCACGTTTGGACAATATTTTCCATGTTTCCCTTGCTATCGGTTTCAACAGGCAGATCTGTATACGCAACATCTGATTCGAGAGTAAACCTACTTTCCATGCAATTCCATGCAAAAAGAGGCCAGTAGTCGCAATTTTGCAGATGCGCAATCAAGGTTGAACACCTTACATCATAGTGATACCGCATTCGTCTTCATTTTTTGTTTTTGTTTTTTCTTGCGGTCATGTTATCACATTGTACTTGATATCAAGGGCAGGTAGCCCGTAAATAAAGTATTATTATTATTATTATTATTAAAATTCTACTCGCTATATTCTACTCCCTTGCAAGTACATTCTACCTATTAGAAACAGTCTTTAACTGAAAAAAGAATTTTCTACGGTAGGATATGCCAATCTAGGCCGACAATAATTCCTCAATATTTTTACTAGGTACATTGAAAGCTAAGTCTGTCTCCAAATAGAGATGATTGTAAGTAGACGACCTTCGACACGGTAAATAAATTCGAATAGCTAAGTACTACGAAATATGCTATTGAAATATAAATAGGGTGTAAATAGACTTCCGGTAAATAAAGTGTTAAGAACCTTCTACGCGACGTGTACTCGAGTACTCGAGCGAAATAATCGATTCGCCGGTTACGTAATGTTACTCGATACAATTTGGTTAACAGTTCTACGAATCCAGCTGCGACAGTACCGAAACAACACAATTAACTCTTTTCGGTCGTATGTCTACCCTCAGCCACCAAAGTATTTTTACCGTTCCGGTCGTGTGTCTGCTCTCAGTCACCACAACAAAAAACAATCTGAATTAATTCCGGCCAGTACGAAACCCACGACCAACTTTAATACGTTCGAAAAGAGTTAAACGACAAAAAAAAAAGGAACCGAACGGTTAATAAAGGATATACAGTTAATTATAAAGGATATACAAATCGAACAAGTTACTCGATTAAACCTCGAAAACAATGGTTGACACTGTCTCGACCCCCCCAACACCTGAAATCTATTTTCATCGATGATCGATGAAGACCGGCGAGCAAAGCAAGAGCGGTCCCGTATCGAAGAGAATCACCTTTCTCGCAGGACATCGATACGCGTCGCAGGACAGGTCGCAGTATCTCGATTCCCTCGCGCAGGACACTCGATACACCGCGCCGGTGTCCTCGTCGATCCTCCTCTCCTTCTCGAACACGTCCGTCGTCCCGCGATTCTCCATAATCAGCTTCAAGCGATTCTTCTCCGTCTTGGCCGTCTTCGGGTTCGTCGGATTAATCGGCGCCGTTTGTGTCGCACGAGGAAGAGGTATCATAGAGCCGCGAGGCCTCGGCTCGAAATCCTTGGACGCGTCCTGCCCTCCGGAAGCTCCGCTCCTCGATCTCTGCTCTCTGTTCTCGCTCGGCATTCTTCTACGTGTTGATGTCAACAACCAAAAAATATACACGTTTTACGACGCCGCGTTCGCGTTTCGGTTCGGTTTCGGTTTTGGTTAGGTACGGACGCGTCACGCTACGGGTGTCTTCTTGGTCGAGTTTTTCTTCGTGTTCGTTCCGTGTCGGGAACGATTCCCACGCGTCGCGACGACCGGCGTCCTGTCGTGTCTGACGTCGCCGCACCGTCAGAAACTCTTCTCCGGGTCTCGACCCTCCTTTTCATCCGCCGCGGGACAGCTTCATCGTGCTCCATCGGGCGTCGAGTGCCGACGGGCGCATGCGTCGAAGCAAAGATTTTCAAAATGTCCCTCTGGCATTTCAACACCCCATCTGCCCGCGCCGCGTCAACCTTTCCTGGCTTCCACGCGCGATTTTATCGTTTCGGTCGGGTCCTTCGCGACCGACCGATCGAACCACGCCGAATTCGATCTAACGAAATGATTTCGTTACGGGCGATTATTATTACCGGCAATTCTCGAGACGATTAGAGTTAGAGTCGGTTAGAGTCGTCGCATGGTTCAACGGTGCGGGTTCCATTTATAGTTGCACGCTGTTACTCGTTTACGGCCCACGTTTTGCCAGTGGTTTCGTAAATCGGCCGGACGCGCCTTTCGCGGCGATAAAGAAGGAAAATCTGTTTTCTTTGTCGGCCTGACGTCAACGTCTCTTATAATTTTCTTATCGAGGTACCGAGACCAGCCTGGAGAAGAGATAAAGCTAGTTTTCTATTCTTTCCTATTTCTATACTCCCTATGTTCACAGAGATCGTAATGAGCGATGATCACGGGAAATATTTAAATTTATTCGAAACCTCTTATAATTTTCTTATCGAGGACCCGAGACCAGCCTGGAGAAGAGATAAAGCTAGTTTTCTGTTCTTTACTATTTCTATTCTCCCTATGTTCACAGAGATCGTAATAAGCGACGATCACGGGGAATATTTAAATTTATTCGAAACCTCCGAACTAAATGATTCACGGAGCGGTGAATGTTAATTAAACATTCGTAAGAAAAATACATTTTCCAAAACTAGATTTTTGGAATTTCACCAAACTCCGATGCGCGACTGAACGAGATAAGGTGCAGTTAAGGAGAAATAAATTTCGTTGAAAGTAAGGAAAAGAGAGGAATTGACATTAGACAATATAAAAACTTTCGTTTAAACTTTAAACTCTACTTTTCAGGTTGGTTGGAAATATTGTAAATAATGTAAATATCAGGGTAATATTATAGGAATAAAGCCTCTACTTTTCAGACCAACACAATTGTTTTTCCTTGTCAATTCCTAGTAGAATAAAGATCCTATACATTTCCTAAATTGCGCACGGGATTTTTATACGTCTTTTTGGTCACGTCTCGAATACCTCGATTCACGCTTTGTGTCTGCGCGCCGATCTCCGATTCCTGATCGTTAAAACCATAGCTCGTATAGGTAGCTCGTATAGGTAGTTGGTTCATCCTCGATTACAAAGATGGACTGCAGGCCCGTCGCACCGTGAAAACGCGTGCCGCGTCGAGAAGCCAACGCTCGAAAAACTCTCCACGAAACAATCCGTATCGTAACGTCGCGTTCGATTCGTTATTTTCTCGGTTGGACGAATCAAAGAGGAGCCGCGAAGGCGAAGGGTCCTCGATTCGAGGACCAACGGAAAGGTCGATAACGAGATCGACTGTGCGGCCAAAGCTACGCACGGTTTCTCCGCGATGCGGAAATCTCGTGTCGATAGGTCAAAGGGGCCGATTCGATTCGATGCATGCTCGAGTCGGCTCTAAAAATCCCTCCGGGCTCGATTCTTTATCGATTTTCTAGAAAATCTACCTATTCCGGTTTAATAAGAGTTAAAGTTGACTCTTTTCTACTTTAACTCTTTCAAATTCGTCGCAAAGGAATTCCCAACGCTCTCCTCTCCTCCATGTTTCGATTTTCTAGAAAACCTACCTATTACAGTCTACTAACAGTCAAAGTTGACTCTTTACTTCTCTAACTCTTTTCTTAATGTTTCGATTTTCTAGAAAATCTACCTATTACAGTTTACTAACAGTCAAAGTTGACTCTTTACTTCTCTAACTCTTTTCTTCTTTAACTCTTTTCTTCTTTAACTCTTTCAAATTCGTCGCGAAAGGATTGCCAACATTTTCGTCACCTTAATGTTTCAATTTTCTAGAAAATTGACCAATCTCAGTTTACTAACTCTAACTCTTTCCTTCTCGAACTCTTTTCTTCTTTAACTTTGTCAAATTCGTCGCGAAAGGATTGCCAACGTTTTCGTCACCTTAATGTTTCAATTTTCTAGAAAATCTACCTATTACAGTCTACTAACAGTCAAAGTTGACTCTTTACTTCTCTAACTCTTTTCTTCTTTAACTCAACTCTTTCAAATTCGTCGCGAAAGGATTGCCAACGTTTTTGTTTTCTAAATGTTTCAATTTTCTAGAAAATTAACCAATCTCAGTTTACTAACTCTAACTCTTTTCTTCTCGAACTCTTTCAACTTCGTCGAATTCCCAACGCTCTCTGTCTCCTTAATGTTTGAAACGGAATCGATTCCACGGTCGCACGTTCCCGTGCTGTTTGGATAAACTCGCACGACACACGCAGCACTCGCGATCGACTCGATGTGTCCAACGCGAACGAAACGTTTCTTCAAGTAACTTCCTTGAGGTCACTTCGTTGTTGTTGTTTTCTTTGTTGGCCGTCGAGGCGAGGATGAACGCGAGCGACGAAACGTAGAAACGGAGATCCGATGGAACGACGATAATACCGGAAGGTTAGAGATAACGAAGCTCCGCGAGAGCGTTTCGGATCGCGTGGTGTTGGTAGCTGAAATAAACTGACGTAGGTTAGGGGATCGAGGAACAGCTGGGCTCGGCCTGGCTGCTGTACGCCATCACTGACTCACTCGATTCCCTTTCCTCTCTTTCCAACGCGCTTCTTTACGAGGTCTCGTCTCCTTCTCTTTCCACTCTCCTACTATCCCGCTTCTCCCTATCCCTCTGCTCGCTCCGGCTATCGCACAGCTTTTGGATAAATTACGTTTTCTCTTCTCCTATCCTGCCGTTATCTCCCCGTCTCTCTACTTCGATCTTGTTAAGAATGTAACTTTGAATTTACTCTTTATTTTGTTAGTTCGCATGCGAACGCCCTCTCTGTACATTGAGACGGCAGTTAACACTTTATTTACCAGGAGCCTATGTATAGGCTCCTTAATTCCAGTATTTAGCTATTCGAATTTATTTACTGTGTTGGTGGCTGTCTACTTACAATGATCAGTGTTTGGAAACAGACTTGGCTTTCAATGTACCCGGTAACAGTATGGAGGAATTGTCAGCCAAGATTAGCATATGCTGCTGTAGAAAATCCTTTTTTGAATTGAAGACTGTTTCTCAATAGCCTGGTAGGTAAAGTCTTAATACTGGAAAACTGTTCAAGATGGATGGGTTCATCCACGTGTTCCGTATACTTTCGTTTTACTTTATTTTTGTATATATATATATACAAAATGTATTGTATATATATATATATATATATATATATATATATATATATATATAATATACAATTGTATATATATAATTATATATAATAATATATATACTTGTATATAATAATTGTATATATAAATATATATATACAAAATATAAAATTATAAATATATTGTAAATATATATACAATACATTTTGTATACATGTATACAAAAATACATATACATATAATATACATGTAATATACATGTAATATACATGTAATATACATGTACTATACATGTACTATACATGTAATATACATGTAATATACATGTAATATACATGTAATATACATATACATATAATATACATATTATATATATTCTTTTCCTGTCAGTACAAATAAAATAAGTTATGTTTGATACAACTCAGGTCTAATTCCTAACAGATCTGTACGGATTTTTACGATCCCTGCGGCTTCCCCTGCCCGTGATCTTCCATACGAAATTACTGTTGCGTCACCTAATGCTCCTTCCTGTTCTATCGAATTAAATTGCCCCCCTCCTTGCTCCCATGAAATTCCCCTCTGTCTGTATCTATACCAGCCGAAGTAATTAGAGGATCACCCCCCCCCCTCCTCCCCTGAAATGACTTTATTGCTTGGTAAGCTAACCAATCCGTACGCAACGTAACTTAAACATACAAATGGTTCGTACAAATATTACCACCTACAACGTTGTATCTACTTTTTGAAGGGTACGCCATTTCGGAGGCTGAAAAAAGGCCCAACTTTGATCATTAATTTTGAGAGTATCGCGAAAGGTATAGTATTTCGTTTTACAGTGTTTGTTCGACGTATATTGAAGTGTAAAGAAAAATTGTTTTAGTACAAGATGGCGGTGCCGAACCGAGTCTTGAAAATTCACTTTTTTTTGTCAACTGTGTATAAAATCTGAAACATACGTAGGATTTTTTTTTTAATCAAATATTGTAGAAGTATTACATCATTAAAACCTAAAGATTTTAATGAATCGTTTTCTATGAATAAAGATGCCAGAGAGGATAATCTTTCATCTAACATTGTAGACCGATGAAAATCTGTATAGTTATCGACAGAACCTATTCAAGTTTTGTTTACACGACTTAAAATCGTCTTTACTGAGAAGTTTTCATATAATTTTACCAAGAGAAACATGATTTACTCTATGGTAAATCCGGCACTGCATGAAACAATTGTATATGATTCGTATAATGCGCAGAAGAATTGTACACAAAAGTTTGAAAACGGTCATTTGACGAGTGGTGGTAGATTTATTGTTAATCTGGACCTCTAAATGAGACTCTCCTACGTTTCAGTCGCATCGACAAAGTTCCGCCCGCTCCATCCGCCCCTTAAATTTTCAAGGGTTTCCATAAGACCGACAAACAGCGACTTCGCGAAAAAACCCAGCCGCCCTCCCTTAAAATCTCAAAGTTCGTTGATTTTTATTCCTCGCTGCATCCAAGGGTGCACACGCGAACGATGAAAAAAGAAAAAGACGAAGAAAGAAAAAAAAGAGAGTCAGACCCCGATGCCCCATGGCGTGATACACTTGAGCCATTTCGACGAAGGGAAGAAGAAAGTCTGATCAATAACATCGCCCCCAAAGAGAGGCAACCCCTCTGCAATAACTCCCCTATGGTTGTGGCGCATGCTCACGAATTAAATGCCATCCCTTCTTGCAATTTCACCGTGTTCGCTGCCCCTCCCCCCTCTTTTTCGACGGAGGGTGAGAACGAGGAAAAAAATAAATACACGGAAGCGCATACGCAAAGGGACGCCGGCCGTATAATGGGCGACGTTCATTGATGCTGGGCGAGCCGCGGTGACCTTGATCCTGAAAATATTACGCCAAAGGGCGCTGTCGCGGTGAAAAGTCACGGTGAAATTTTTGTGAACGATTTTTATCGCGGCTCGGAGAGAATCGCGCTGGTGGTCGGAGTAACCGTTCGAGAACAATGGAAACGCGATGCTTTATGTATTTTTCCATGGTACCGTTATACGCTGATAGTAAATATTAGGGGGACCGAAAGGTAATGAACATGTGATTGATTTGGAAAAGATTTTCGTTGAAAAATCGAAGGAATGTTTTAAAAAGGGAATCGATTAACAGTAATGTCTCCGTAAGTGCACGAATTTGTCTACGATAAATGCACAGAAACCAGCACCACCACTGTGGGGTATACCCTTTGAAGGGTCCGGGAGTTCGATCGCTGAATAATGTAAAGATAATCTTGGATCCGATTATTCGGCGAGACAATTTAATGCAACGGCGAAACTTTTTTGTTGTAAAACTTTTACCATCATATTCCCAACATTTTTCTGATTAAAATGCCACCAAACACGACGTGCTTCGCAATATATTTACTTGTAACAACTTGGTATGTATTATACAGGGTGTCCCAAAAATGTTGGAGGTCCTTTTGTAACCAAAAAATTTTTATTTTTAGATCTCGTCCAAAATATGGTTTCCAACGTTTTTTGGAACGAGAAACACGATTCTGAAGTCGAATTGTAGGCAAGCTTTGCGAAAATAAGACTCCAAACCAAGGAAGAAGAAAGATGTATAAGTAAACCATCTGATACAATTTCTTTATCGAGAAACTGATTCCAGAATCGTGTTTCTCGACCCCAAAAACGTTGAAAACCATATTTTGGGCGAGATCTAAAAATAAAAATTTTTGACTGAAATTCGGGAAGGGAATACCCCCCTTGAAATTTTCAGCTTTTGCAACTATTTATTTTTTTACTCCAGAACCTTAAATGGGAATTGGATGAAATTTTTACCGAATGTCCAGCTTCACAATAGGTATCCATGAAAAAATCGGTGACCCGCTAGAAGAATCGTAAGAGCCTCAAAAAAATTCGTAAGTGTTTTTGAGATTTGTGACCTTTGACTCGAATTTTGAGGGTGATAAAGCCATCCGAGTGTTTTTTACCATTAAACAATATTTGTTGGGCTTTAAAAGAGCTTTCCAACGCCGTGTGGATGGAGTAAATCGGTTA